TAATCCTACATCCACTGGAAAACTTTTTCTTAAAAACAGACAACCTTCAGATGGCTGGAAACAACAAAGAAGTAGGATGAAGGCAGCAGGTGAAAAGAACTTTTCCTTTAATCACGACATCAGCTGAAGATCAACCGGTCAAAGTCAAAACATGTTAAAAAAATTGCTTTTTCTCAAAATTAGTTTTAGTAATGTTAAAGCATATTCATGACATAAATCACTCGAAATGTAAGTTTGGGCACATGCTGTAAATAAAAGAAAACTAAATAGCAATTATTATTATTATTTTTTTGTATGATGGAAAAGAATGCTGCTCTTTTGTCTCTTAAAATAATATGTATTTTATGTACGAAATAAGTGCCCAAATATAATTTTAACTATTATTTTTTTCCTTAAAACTGTGATTAAGCATCTGTTTAAATTTTAAATTGAGAAATTAATATTTTATTTGAAAAATGATTTATTTTCTGAATAAAATATATTTTTTTATGTACAATTTATTTGATATTTTGAATTTTTTTTATAAACAAAACGTATTTATTTAATATAAACAACTTATTTGATAGTTTGATTTTTTATTAACAAAAGCATTTATAAATATTTTTTTGTTTCTTTATAAACAATTTTCAATACAAAATTAAAAATTATCTGAAAATCAATAGAAAAATGCAATAAAAAAACATATATTGTTTTCAGAAATATAGCAAGTTTAAAAGAGCAATTCAAATTTAAATACAGAATTTTTTAAAAACATTATTTTATTCTGCAATTTCTTCCGAATGTATTTGACATATGTGCAGAAAAAATTCATATCCAGGTTGCTAAAAAGATCCTGAGGGCATTTTTCTCGAGCTTAATTTCTTCACTAATATTTAATTCGGAATCTGATGATGCAATATGCGTACAGGATGGGTCTGAACAAGTCGTAAAAACTTTAGGGGGCGTAGATCACATCATAAGGATTAAGAGTTGCATAATCCTTACGATGTGCCCTATCTCCCCTAGAAGTCGTACTTGCTAAGTGGCGCGTACATCGCACGCCAAACTTTTTGTTCTTGTGTCTTTGAATAGATATTTTTCATTTATCTAAATTATCCTAATTTCAAGTATTCTAATGATTAAATATCTAAAATGGCATTTTAATTAGTTCGGTATTAAATTTTTAATCCTAATTTAAAGATTTGACGACTAATTTTGGAAGCTCTCGCTAAATATCTAAAATAGGATTTAAAGTCTAATGCTGAACTAATTTAAATGCTATTTTCGACAATGATTATTAGAAAAAAAATAAATCAAGATAACTTAGATAAATAAAAACACCTGTTCAAAGACACAAGTAGAAACAGTTCCTAATAAACAAGAGCCCCTAGCGACGTACGACGATATTTCCTGTCAAGGGTTCCTGTGCATTTCTTAACCCTTTATGATGTGCTCTAACTCCCCTAGAAGTTTTTACATATTATTCAGACTCATCCTGCATATATTTACTAGGTAATGAATTATAACCTACAAATGCATTGAAATATTTTCAGTGCAGCAGTTTTATAGCATAGACATTTGGACTTAATAATGTGCGTCAAGCGTTAAATTAACTGTCGTTTTTATCATATTTGCAATAATTACAAACCATTTTTCGATTAGAATATAAAGTAAACAGCTATAATGCATTCTAAGAGTTGTTCTTTCAGAAATAGTGACGTATACACTAAATTTGTTTTCATCATAAGTACTTTCTGTTACAAATTGTGTATATGCTGTAATCGAATTTGTCTTGCGTAATGAATAGTAAAAAAAGCTCATGATAGATAAGAGTAATATTTGATAAGATTTCTCTCAATGGTTGTAACCATTGAGATAAATTTGGATAAGTTTACCTTTGATTGTTATTATGGATCTGTTTGTCATGTTTATCAAGAGTTAATAGAATACGAAAATGTACTTTTTTATTTATAAAATGTGAAAATTAGGAATGTAATGTGTGGAAAAATAGTGCTTTTAAGTATACAATAGGCGTTGAAATACTTTATTTAAAAAAAATTTTTTTTTTTTAATTAGTTGCTAGTCAGGATAAGTTTATTATATATGAAAAATGTATACGTTAATGTACATAACAAATACATGAATATAGTATATTTATATTTTTGAACATTAATAAATTTAAAGTATTAAACGCGTTATGATAATAGTTGCATTGCATTTAAATGGAAGTATATTAATGATTGTGCAGGACTCGAAAATATTTGTATGAATTAATCAATAGAGGTAGTTCAAAAAAAGTCTAAATGTAAAAAAAAAATGTTCGTTGAATTAAATTCAAATAAAAATGGCCTTTTATTTGATAATATTTAGAGAAACCATGCCTAAATGTTTAGGTTATTGATCATTTCACATGGAAAGATTATTTTGCGTTTTTACGAAAATCAATAAAAAACGTGTAATTTGTTTCAGAGCTTAGTAGGAAAATAAAATATACGCAATCAATTCTGAATTGAGTACTCTGTTACAATTAAATAAGTTTCTCTGTAACAAAAGAAATTCAGAAATATCAATCACCAAGGAATGAATCTTTTTAATTTGTAAATCTCTACATACATTTAATTTTCTTCTCCGGAATATCTGGAATTGATTCTTATACTAATTTGATTTTAAGTGAAGATTGATACTAATTTAATGCAATTTATATGCTTAAGCATATAAATCACATGGAAGCTCTTCACACATTGCAATTAAAGGCTTTGCATGTGTAACCAGTGTTTAACAAATTATTCTTTGTATATATATTTACTTTCATTTCATTTTATTGTGATCCTTAGTTTATTAATTAATTACTTATGTAGTCTTAATCAAGAATTAAACAAGTGGTTCGCTAGTATTTTACCATTAATCAATGTTTAATTTTATTGTTCTAATAATTCATTAATTTCTTGAAAAAGCACATTTACAAAGTTTTTAATAAACATAACCATTTCAAAAAGAATCAACAATTAAATAGAAAATTTTACATACTGAAAGAAAATTATGTATCTTACTCAATTGATAAAGATATTTTTTGATGATTGTGAAAATTCTTTCATATCTACTTTATATTTTTGGAATAAATGTTAAGATTTTTTATTCTTTTTCACAAGTTATGGTTTATTTAAAATATGTTGAATATTTTTAAACGAAGTCATAAAATCATTTATTTATTTAAAGTTTTTTAAATAAACAGTAATGTTTGTGATTTGTTCCAATAATACCGAACGGAATTTTCTTCAATTTCTCAGAAGTTTCAGAGGGGGAATTTGGGGAAATCCAAATCATTAACTAAATTTTCTATTTTTATTAATTGAAAATTATTTTTTTTAATGAAATTCAGTTGCAAAAGTAACTCGAAGTGCAAAAGTTCTCATAAGCATTTAGAGAACCTTCTTACAAGAGAAGCGTACGCACATCTGTAAAATCTGTATTAAATTAAATGAAATTGAAATGAGCGTAAATTTAAGAAAGAAAAAAAAAGGAAAAAAAACCTGCTTAAAAACCTTGGATAGGGTAAAAATTTGTCTCTAATGCTGTCCCATGTCGTAAAATAGTACCCCCCTAAAAGTTTAAATTTATTTACTTGCAAAATAACGAAACTTTTTTTAGCTCCCTAGGATTCGTAGTACAACGGTGAAGCTATTCGCCCTCTGAGATTAAGGGCTCAAATCCCAACTCAAACAATTGATTTATATTTCTAGATTTATGATCTAACAAAAAAAATGGCAGCTGCTTTTTATTTTTTAATTAAAAACCGTGGGAGGCTTTCGTGGTTTTCCTCTCCATGTAACGCAAATGCGGGGTAGTTCCATCAAAAAGTCCTCCACGAAGGCAAATTTTTCCCAATACTTGATCCAGGTGTTCCCTTGTCTTCTGGATTGGGTTCAAAATTACAAGGCTATGGAGTTGAGCATTATTAGTCGTAAACCCAAACATTGGGTTGGCTGTTTTACGATGGTTATGTTATAAAATAAAAAAATAAAAAAATCTAAAATATGCTAGCTTAAAACTTCATAGCATCTAAAAAAAAAGAGTTCCGTTAGTTTTCTTTTTCAAATACAATATACTGTAGGTTTATTCGCTATTGTCTTTATATTAAGGGGTGGAGGAGGCATATTACGCATTTTCCTTTAAACAATTCTAATTTATGAACGCAGGATTGATTAAAATGGTGATAGTTGTGGGAATTATTAATTCCACTCAAAATTATATTCAATAATTTCTACAGCTCAAAAATACGATATTTGTTATTGTTTACCAAGAAACTAAAAAAAAAGCAAAGAAAAAAAAACATCAATGTATTATTGAATCTCATATTCTGGTATCAATTATATTCATTCTGATTTTAAACTAAGCTGAATTCAAATTTTAACCATTAAATGTAAAGGAAATTTGCTTTTTTTTCTACTCAAAAAAAATAATTTCTTGTTGTACAATCTAAAAAGGATTCTATATATCATAATTAGTTTATAATTAAGAAAATTTACAGAGTAAAATTTTATCAAATAACCTTAATTCATTTTCCCAATCTTAAATTCAATCTTTATATTCACTGGAAATAAAAAAAGAATAAAATTCCACTCAGGCAATTTAAGCGATCTCAGATTGCTACAGAACATTTAAGTTTTTTATAAAAGTAGAATTTTAAATATAAAGCCAATAGCTTCTTAACGTTTTCAAAGAAGCGATGAGAAACTTTTTGAATGTACCTTATTATAATCCCAAATCATTTTCCAATTTTTTCCAAGAAATTAAAATAAAGAATCTCAAAATAAAATAATAATAATACGCATGCGCATGTCTGGCCTGCACCACACACAACTTGCTTTCAATTTATTTATGACCCTGAATTATTTTGACAGTTCATGTTTACGTTTTTCTTTTTCTATCTGGCAATCAATAAACGTGGATTTTATCCCTAAAAATAAATAATATTCGCAATAAACGTTGCCCTTTTATAATATTGCAAAAATTATACTTACCTTAATACCAATAATCCTTGTTGTATTGAAAACTAAGTATCCCTGAGCAGGATTTGAAATAAAATCGTCTTCTTTATTTTTCTTCTATTTTCTACACATTAAAAAAGCAAACGATTTTATAAACATTCTATTCAAAACACGAAGGAATAAAAAACGTAAATAATTGCTCTTCAGGAAGGAAATGAAGATGCAATGAGATGAGGAAGAGTCAGAAGATGGTGAGTGGGAGTGTAATCGGCACTGCAGAGTTGCGCCCGTAAGGAAAGAGCTACAAGAGCACAGCGGGGGTGAAAATATTGGAGATGAGAAAGATGAGGGGAACAATCACAACAAACGCGGCCGTTAGATGGCGTATCAGTAGAATGACATCATCCTATTAGCACCATTTTTTTGGATTACGTCATTTGATTTTTGTGTATAAGTGCAAATGATTATTTTACGGATCAAGAATTTGCCGAAAGAATAAGATAAATAATTAATGAAAATTATTTCTACATTTATAAAAAAACTTACTGAAACAATGAAAATGAACACAATACATGTAAAAGTCGCAATAATCTAATTAATAAACGATACTACCTTTTAAAAATTATAAATAAATCACTAAGTTCCCATGCATTATGCTCTTGCTTAAATTTCATAAAAGTAGTAAATACGAAAATAATAATCCAATCTAGTTAAGCTAATTAAAACTAATTTAACACTTACAAAATTTGTAGTATTAAAAACGATGACTTAAAATTGTTTCTTATTCGATGCATTCTTATTTGTCAGAAAAATCATATGATGATGGAATCCTTAGCTAACAAAAAAGATCGAGATATTTTGTGTTGTATGAACATAAAATTATTAATAGTTATAACGGTGTATTCACCTACAAATTATTCATTTGTCTCTTTTTTAATAGTTTTTTTATATTCTATTCTACTTTAATTACAGAAATATTTAATATACATTCGTTGAAGAATTTTTCAACAACTTTTAATAATTGAATTATACTATTTATATTAAACTTATCTTGTCATTTCAGTAATTTTTGATATAATTTTATTAAGGAAGAAATTAACAATCACGAAAATTTTATTTAAAATAACCTTTCAAAATTAAGGGCTTAAAACAAGTAGAGTTTCTTTATCATATTATAAATTCAAAAAATCTACAATTGCCGTATAACGCAAGATTTTATTAAAAACATATTGAATTACCGTTTTATAATCATTAAACAGTAAATAAGTTCGATATATTTTTAAAGTACATTCTCTATAAAAAAGTGTCAACATATGTAATTAGGATAAGTAATTACAAAATATTTACACTAGGGTATTTAATTAAAAGTTTCACTTAGTACAAAACATGGTAAGTCAAAAGCATATAATGGCGATGACATAAAGGTGAATTCTCGAATCCTTTGAAGAGCTTAATTGACTTGAAGATGCCCACATATTAATTGATGGGCCCAATATTTTTCGAAAACGACCATATTTGTTTAAAATTATTGAAAGAATTTTTTTAAATGTTTTATTTAGTCTAAAACACCCAATGACAAGAATTATTTTGCGCCAATATAAGAGTGAACACTTACAATTGTTTACAATTTTTTAAAAGGCGAGATTTATTTGAAAATAATTTTATATTAAAATATGGTTGTCATATTTTCCCAAAATACCCATATGTGTCTAAAATATTTGAGGAGAAGTTTCAGGAAAGTTTTATTTATTCAAAAACACGGAAAGTCGGGAAGGCTATAATATAACGATGGTCAATTTGTGATATTTTAATAATTTTTAGCAATGCTAGATTTGATTAAAAATGCTTTCATCAAAAATCTTGTCGTTATATTTTCTGAAAATAACCATAAACTGTAAAATTTTTCGTCCATCTTAACACTAAAAATGGTGATAATTTTTTAAATCAAACTATTGTAAAGTAGCCGCCACTATTTTTTTTTTTTTTTTTTTTTTTTTTTTTGTATTCAGAAGCACTAAAATTTATGATTACATTGAGAAAAGATACACACACAAGAGTCAGTTAAATTATTTTTACGATACAATAAAAAGTAAGAATCATTAATTTGGAATAATTATGCTCACTAATTTTAGTTTGCTAAGTTAGTTTGTAAATTAAACATAGCACAAAGAGATAATCAAGATGATCGAAATTTGTTTTTTAAAAAAAATTTAGGACTTTATTTTTTATAACATGGGATTAAAACTTGTTACATTCTGAAATATGAGCTTCATATTTTCCGAAACTACTACGAGGCGCATCCAGAAAGTAAGTTTCCCTATTTAAAAAAAAGAAAAGAAAAAAAAGAACTCACACTTTCAGGAACATATTTATTGGCAACAAGCACAGCAATGTTTCAGCTATTTTTCAACATAGCCACCTCCAGAATTGAGACACTTGTCGTATTGTGGGATCAACCCCCCCCCTCAAGGCATTGATCCCCAAGGCATCATTCATATCATGCGTAATGAATGTATGAATGATCCCTTGAGAAACTATCGATCGAGGTTCTACACTATTTAGTGAATAGAAAAATATACTATTTTTTAATCATTTACAACTGGCATAGATCCAAAAGCGTAAAATAAGAAACCCAACAAGACTGTGGAGATAGTTTAGCAACTTTATGGTGTTGCCATCCATGCGCGAATAAGAGGTATCCTATTCTAATAGCCCAGAGTCACAAATTGGGGAGAGTCATGGAAACTCTGTATGTGTTGACGGGAATGGAGGCAATATTGTGTTGTCAACGCTGTAACTCGAACTCCCTGTCTGTTGGTCATAAAATTTACAGATTACCTCCTATCGGTGTTATGACATGTGAACTGCAAGGACTTTGTTAGATGGGTCTAGTTGGTGCGATAAAATTCAGGTTGTTTAACCGTATTAGGCGAAAGCTGTTAATAAGCGGTTTTTCTTATAGTTAACAGTTTGATTATCATCTTATTAATGGTTATTTGACTGTGTTTTGTTGGCATATGGTAAAATAACAATTAAGTAATTTGTTATTAAACCAATTTTTCGGAGAAAATTCTAACAGTGTGGCGTTAACATAAAAAAAAAATTCTGGAATATTTTGAAGAGTTGTATTGTTTTGAAACTGGTCACAGATTATATTGATTGTTAAGCCTTATATTTTTCGAAAGTGACCATCTATGTATAAAATCATTTAAAAATATTTGAAAAAAGTTTTATTTAGTCTGAAACACAATGAGTCGAAAATGTTTATGGCGCCAACATAAGGTAGGCCACATGTTGAACTATTTATAATTTTTTGTAACGCGTGATTGATTTTAAGGTTATCATTATTAGTTTAGATTCAAAAGTTATCGTATTTTCCGAAAATACTTATTTGTGTCTAGAAGTATTTAAAAAGAAGTTTTAGGAAAGTTTTATTTATTCCAAAACACGGCAAGTCGAGAGCATAAAAGTAAATAACATAAATGTGGGCAATTTGCAATTTTTTTTTAATAATTTATAAGAAACGCTTTTTCGATTAGAAACTATTCACATATTAAATTATACCCAAGACGAAATTTATGATGGTTTTTCTTTGATGGACCAACATGAATATGATGGTAACCATCATGAGCATCCATCAAAAACCATCATAATTTTTGATGGTACCATCAAGATTGACCATCACCTCATTTTAGGAATTGGAACAAATTTATGTTGGACCAACATTAACACAACCAACATGGTTTGATGGTATTTTTTGATGGCCCAACAAAAACACCCAACAAGAACCAACATGTCGTGATGGTATTTTTTGATGGTCCAACAAAAAAATTAATCAGGAACCAACATATTTTGTTGGTTTCCAACTAATTTTCCATCATACACCATCTTAATTTCTGATGGTACCATCAAGACTGACCATCACCTCATGTTAGGAATTGGAACAAATTTATGTTGGACCAACATTAACGCAACCAACATGGTTTGATGGTATTTTTTGATGGCCCAACAAAAACACCCAACAAGAACCAACATGCCTTGATGGTATTTTTTGATGGTCCAACAAAAAAATTAATCAGGAACCAACATATTTTGTTGGTTTCCAACTTATTTTCCATCATAAACCATCTTAATTTCTGATGGTACCATCAAGACTGACCATCACCTCAAGTTGGGAATTGGAACAAATTTATGTTGGACCAACATTAACACAACCAACATGGTTTGATGGTATTTTATTGATGGTCCAACAAAATCCAACATGCTTTGATGGCATTTTTTGATGGTCCAACAAAAAAATTAACCAGGAACCAACATCTTTTGTTGGTTTCCAACTTATTTTCCATCACAATTTCTGATGGTACCATCACCTCATGTTAGGAGTTTTAACTAATTCACGTTGGGCCAACATGCACAAAACCAACATTGTTTGATGGTCCAACAAAATTCATCAGGAACCAACATATTTTGTTGGCAACCATCAAGACTGGCCATTATCTAGTGTTAGGAATTGGAAACATTTTATGTTGGTCCAACATGAACAAAACAAACCTAGTTCGATGGTCTAATCTATCAAGAACCAATATAATTTGTTGAATTGACTGGTCTACCATCGTTAGAAACTGAACTTAATGTTTGACTACCAACAACAAAACTAATATAGTTTGAAGGACCAACATATTTTGATATACAAAGTATTGCATTAAAAGCCACTTTATTTCTTGAATGTATCAAGGTTAAACATCACCTGTTCTATATCGAATTTTTCACCTAACTATCCAACGTGAAAAACTAGTTTTGTTTGATGGTTTCTAGCATCATGGACGATTTATAATCAGCAAGAAAAATCTCTCTGAAACACTGTCTCCCTTAATAGCAATAAAGTGTCTAATAAATTATCAAGCTGGTCGGTTTTTAATATTGGAATGTTGGTTTGTCTTGATCCTTACCTATCAACACTACAATTTAAGATATAAATTTATGTTGCCAACAAACGCTGTTTCGTAGATTTTTTACAATTACATACATAAGATTAAATTGATATTACAATGTTGCTCAGTCTTTCTTATCTATGAAATCTGTTATTTTTTTTCTTCTTCTTAGTAGTTAATCAAGCTGAGCTGATTTACATTATAAAAATATATGTTCAAGAAAGTTAACATGGTAATCATTTTGATGATTGAATGACTTAGCGTTGCAGTGAATATACTAACCATAGTATGTAATAAAAGACCTCTGCCCTGTTTTTCAAGAACAATGAATTAAAAGTTTAATTTAACTTATTGTAATAGGTATTTTTACTTATTTTTGGTATTAGTTCAGGAAACTAGTTTATTATTTATGTTTATTATTTATGTTTAACAAAAAACATGAAAAGTTTGTCCTTTGAATACAATTATTCACAATGAGGGGGAAAANGGAAAAAAAAAAAAAAAACAAATTTATCACAAAATCTTTATTTTTTTCGATTTAAGTCTGAAATTTTTTCAGCTATGAATCTATTTCTTCTTTTTATATTAGTTTCTATATCTTCAATGCTCATTTTTTTTGCAGCCATATATTCTCTCATCAGAGCTGTAATAGAAAAGAAATATAAGTTAATTCTTACACAAATATATCTTTATTCAAATCTGGCAATTTACTTAAGAAATATGTATTTTTTTAAAGTACCAATTACATGCACCTTCAAATATAATAGAGTTACTAAATAATAATTAGTCATAACAATTTTTTTACTATTACTGAGCTCTTGCTTTTGAATTTGTTTATAGATTTCTTCCTCTTTTAAAAAATAAAGGCTCTAACCAGTTTATTTATCAAAAAAAGTGAAGAATTAAGAGAAAAGTTTATTAGTTATTTTTTTAAACCAGGTTTACTTTGTACCTAAGCAAATGTTCTAATAATACATTTATTAAATTTAAATCATTAAAAATATTTTAGTTAAGTGTGAAGTTGTTTAGTATAATGTCTATTTATCATTCAGTATAAATATTTTACATTTCAACTAGTATAATGAAGAAAAATACTTAATATTACTAATGAAGTAATAATGAATAAATTATTAGTAACAATGAATAAATTATTACTAATGAAGAAAAAACTAAAGAAAATTAAAATAGTGACCATCAAATAGGCAATTTTCAATTCATGTTTATATTGAAAACTATTTTGACCAGCACTTTTACAGAATCTATGACAAGTCACATGCTATTATTTTGTAATTGGATATGGAAGTGAAACATTCTAAATAAACTCCAATAAACTTTATCTGTACTGAAAAAAATAAAATTAAACTTTAGACACAATGAACAAAACTTTTGCAATTTTCTATTTTTGCTCTGGCTTTCATGAATGAATAAATAATGAAAGTGCAGTGATGAGTTAATCAATCATCTGTCAACACTGTGTTAATAGCACAAACAAGTTGTACAAGAGATGTCTGTAAGTTTAATATAAAACTTACAACTTATGACAGTCAACTTTTCCGGTGTAAGCCTCTGCTTGGCTTCCACAGCCCGACTTTCCTCTCCTTCAAGCTTTCTTTTACACCCATTTGTGTTCCTGCACTTGACTCCAGTTGTTGACCTCTCCTTCAAACCATCTGAGGTCCAGATGGCAACGCTTAGGCTTTTTGTAAATTTGCTAACTGAGCTTTCGCCCTTAATAGCTTCCCATTTAGTCCGTTTAAGCGTAATGCAGTTGCCAAATGAAATATCCTAAAATAATTGAATTCAATTATATTATTTAAAAAAATTTAAAACAGTGAATTTTATTATTTTTCTACAAAATGTCAAATTTAAAGAATGTATGAGCAAGATGGTTCAAAGTAAAATAGTTAAGAGGTGCAGTTCCAATAAAGTATAAAATTCCAATGATTATTTGAAAAATCTCAAAGCCCTTTATATGACAATTTTATATTTAAATAATTCAATGAAAATCCTGTATATATATATATACAAAATACTCATTATTTTTAATTTAGTCATGACAATTGCATACCATCTCCCAAATTTACTTACTGTTTTAAAAATCCTTGTAATAACTAAATTAACGCAAATTAAATTTATTATTTTCAATCTTAACTCATTGGAAATTAACTCACCTTCATCCGAAAAGCTGATTGTTTTTTCCCCAAATGTTTACTTATTTATTAAGCAATTAAATTACACAAAAAGACCTCCATAAATGGCAAAATCAAAAACAACCCACAATTGATTATGACGTCACATTAGCTGAATAAAAATGTGCCAAATCCATCCACTAAGGCTTTGTCAATGCTCTTTTACTTTTGATATCATTTATATCATGTGAACATCACTTGCATATTATGAGTAAAATTTATGGGAATTATATTTACGGCTTCGAGAATGCGTGCAAAATGGAAGAAAAATTACGAGAATCCCAGTTTCAGAGTGAAACAAAAGTAAACGTTTTTTGCTTAAAAATAACTTAATAATTAGCACTCTTAGAGAAGATTATTGAAAGAATATATTGAGTTTTAAGGAACTCTGAATGCATTAAGATTTTTAAAAAATTTATTGTAATTTTCCATTTTTTTTTTTTTAAAGCAACACCAAATAGTTAGGATAAATAAGAGTGGTTTGTACACATTTTAGTAAAATACTATCCAGAAACACTATCATAATTTAAAGCTTAACATCACAACCTTCTAAAGCTTTCATAAACCCGATTTCCATTAAATAGATATGATCTAATTTTAGAATTTTCCAACACGTTCTCGCATACAAAATTTTGTAGTTTAATATATATATCAGAGCTCAGTGCAGGTCACTGTAGAAAAAGTAGTGAAAAAAGAGACATTTTTTAAGAAGTAATAAATAGTGACTTAATTTAAAACAGTGTTAATACTCTTGTAACATCCTAATAACCTAAAAATATACAATTTAAATGAAAAAATTTGGTTTAGTAACATTTATTGTTGTAGCTTAATTTGCTGCTTTTGAAATTTTTTTAAATAGAAACTGTTAAGTAATTTTTTTTTTAATTTTTCCAAACTGAAAAAAAAAAAAAACTGCATGCTTAATTTTAGGGCTAAAAGTATTATATTAAAGAAGCAGTAAAAGTACACAATAGAAATATTGTTGCTATCATGTAAAGTCAATACACATTTTAGGGGTACCTTCACAAATTCCACTTTAGGAAAAACTATTTTTACAAAATACTTTCTTAAAATTTTTTTTTTTATCCCGTAAGAAACGATAAATCCATATTTTTGTGTTGATTCCTTCACATAATTTTTAATTTTTGCAAATAATGCCTAAATTTCCATAAATTATGTCTAAATTTTCACAAAATAGGTAACTCTCAGAAAAACCTAGGCCGACCCCTGCATTTATTGAGATGTGCTTCTCTTCAGGAGTCAAAAACCAATGTTTTTTAAATATGATGTGAAGAACTGAAAAAATGTTAACTATTATTGGAACAAAAAATTAAACTTTTGCAGTTAAAAGTGAATTTTGAATAAATCATTTAACAAATTGTTGTAGCTGAAACCTGTTATTCGAAAGCATTTTCCTAAAAAAGCAAACAAAAAAAATTTACATATCAAACAGATTTAGACCATTTTGTAAGAACCTACGTCAGAATGAAGGAAAACAAATTTCTTAGTTGATATTTCGATAATTAGCAAATAAGTGAAACAGCATGAAATTTTATCAAAGTAGTTAACTCAGTATTACCTCAGATAGCTCTTCAAAAACTGGAGTTTCATCAGATGCAGGAACCAGGTTTCCTGAAATTAGGAATAATCACAATGCATTAGTATGAAAATAAAGTTTATTGTAGCAATGTAAAAATACTTTCGTTTCAATATTCATGAAAAGTTTATTAGGGTTCGTAATTGTTACTGATTTAACAAGTATTAATTTAATATGATTGACGCATTAAAAAAAGAGAGCTGGTTCTCCAAAGGCGCTTGACTTTTTTGTTACCTACATTTTAACTTTACCTTACAATAAAGAAAGAAAACTATTCAATATAGCTACTAAAACATGACAAATCATCATTGTGTAAGGGAAATTTTTATTTAAACCAAGACTAACAACTTTTACGAATTTTTTGTAAGTTTGAATTTTTAGTTTTAAGCAGTAGCAAAATTTGTGCTTTTCTCGTATTTTGAATTAATAAATTTAATTTAAAAGTTTTTAAATCACTAGTATATATGAGCAAATTAAAGTTATAATAAAGGCATGATAATCAGATAATAGTTTGTTAGTTAAATACAATAGTGTATAGATGTGTATATTATATAAAAATTATTTATAAGTTTCACATGTTTAGAAAATTTTCTAAAATTTGAAGGAAAAAGAATTTTTTTCTTTTTTTCCAAACTACGAGAATACAAAAAGAAACTGGAAAAGACCAGCAGAGAAAATAGATATATGTATATTGCAAAAGTCATTTGTCAAAGTTAAAGTAATTACCTCGTGCTGAAAGGTCTAAAATTTTTTTCTGCAACTGCCTGTTGAGGTCACGCAGCTGCTGTACCTCAGCATTATCTTTTTTTAAGCTTTCCACCTCCTTCTCCAGTTCCAATATTTTACTTTTCAAATGTTCTTCATTGGATGTTTCTGCAACATATAATTTTTTAAAAAATTACATTGAAACATTAAAATATTAAATAATATTTAGTTTTCAATATTGCTCATTTTCTAAAAGAAAATGTAAACATATTATAAAATAATTGTTAACCTATAATAAAAAATGCAAGTTGGAAAATATAAATAACTAAATTATATCAACCAACCCTCATCGTCATCACTATCATCATCTACAGGACATCTTGGCGCTAAAACAGCCTTAACTGAAGTCTCAACTGGAAATCCCTGCAGGGCTACAGTTGTCTCCTTTTCACTGACTTTATTTAGAAATGGCGACTTAGTTTTGCCAAACACATCTTTCCTGGCATTTATTACGGTTGTTAATAAATCACTTGTTAACTGCAACTGTTTATTAGGAAAATGCTTTTTCTTGTCCTACAATTTAAAAAAAAAAAAAAGATTAAAAATTTTGAATAATTTAATTTTGCTGAGCAATATAAAGTAAAAAAATAAGTAAAAAATAATAAATTTATAATTGCATTCCAAATGCCACAAAATATGCTTTTATGTTAATTTGTGTATTTACTGTCAAATTATTAACAAAATTCCAGTAGAAAATGTTTTCTAAAAAAAAAAGTTTGTTTAAAATACAATTATGATCTGAAGGCAGCAAACAACTTCAGCTAGTAACTTAAAATTCAAAAATGAGCACTTAAACTAAACATTTACTGTCTAGAATACAAAACACAACTAATAATAAAATATAATTATGAGCATAGAGAGAAACATTGTAAAAATAAAAAGAGTTAAAAACCTGCACCTTTTTAGTTATTGGCATTTCGTCTTCAGTCGTTGTTTCTGATAGATCATGTTGGAAAGGTATCGATGGCACAGAAGGCCTTTTATCAAGAAGACTTTGTGTCAAATCTTCCAGAGTGGCTAAACATTTAAATAAAAAAATAATTTATTAAGAAACGAAAATTTAGAAAATAGACAAACTTGCATTCTCTATTTTAAATAAGGCACTTCCCAAAACAACAAATAATGATTGCAAATTTATGTTTCATTTAAATACCTTAAGTTAATAAAATATAAATTTTACAGTCACTTAAGTTAAGGAGTAGAATTTAGAGCAGAACAAAAAAATAAAAAAATTCTTAAAAATAAAATAATAAAACTGATTTTTATAAAGATAAAAAAAAAATAACAGATAGTGATGAAATAAAATTTTTACTTCAATAATAAATGGGGGAAAAAAGAATTGGTTTTGCTATTTGAAGATTTTTAAACTCATTTTAAACTATGTATAGTATTATTTTACTTGTATTATATTAGTTGCATATTTTTAATATACTTGTGGAACAAAATTGAATATTTTTGAATTGTTTACTAAAAATATTAAAAAAAAAGATATGAAATACTTTGCAATGGCTTAGTAACTTTTAATTTGAGTATTAAAATATTATCTAACTTAATACTTTAAAAATATCTAAAAATCTATTTATTTTTTACTTACATAGGTTTCTTTTTTATATCTTACTTACACTCATTAGCTTATCAACCTAACACAGACATAGGTGTACTGTGAGGGAGGCACACATGTTTTTAGAAAACTGTTCATCTATTTTTAAGTATAATAAGAGCCGTCTTAATAGCATGCAGAGCCCCCGGGCACAAAAATGTTTTCCCCCCAGGGGCGCACTCTTGTGTGACGGGCATGGCGCACCCGGGGCCCCGAGCTGGACCCGAGCATTTTTCTATTTCTCTCTTGCGACGGTCCTGTTTTGAGTTTCCGACCTTTTATCCAATGTTTATATTGACCTAGTGGACGAATTTTATTT